GTGTGTGTGTGTGTGTGTGTGTGTGTGTGTGTGTGTGTGTGTGTGTGGGAGCTCCACACCAATGTGAGCGAGGCACAGCAACCCTCAGGTGCAGAGAGATCAAAGTGGCGGCGCCTTTAGGATGCAGAAGTCACCGGTGGAAGATGCCAACTTCTTCTCCAAGTTTGTCTTCTGGTAAGACCGTGAGTCCACGGCTCATGTGGACACTTGCTGAAACCTTATTTATTATTCCACATTTGACCTTATTATACATTTTTTTACCGCGCGCAAAAACAGCTCGGGACTCTGTGCGTAAAGACGCGCTCCGGTTAGGCTGCTCCTCTGCGCTGTTTCTGGGTCTAACCAACACCACCAGACTTATTGGGAGCAGTTTGTTTCTGTGTAAAAACTGCTTCACTTCTTTAGGTTTTGTTCAGATTCGTCAGGTTTGGATGCATGAGTCAATAAAGAGTTCTAAAAGAATTTAAAACATAGGATTTTGTAAAATTTCTCCATTGATTCCTTTGATCTGAGTGAGTGACTGCAGGTTGTTGCTTCCGACTCTTCATGCCAAAACATTCAAATTAGACTCTTAACAATTAATAATATTAGCAATAATTTAAAAATTAAATTCTCATCCACCCATTTCCCCCCACCTGTTTGTGGTGGAGTCTTGGCTGGACGGGTCCAGGTGGGGAACGTACATGTTTTATCTGCAGGATGTGCTCATCAAACCTCCAGGTTGTTCAACCACCTCAGCTGACTCGTGTCGATGAAGAGGAGCAGAGGCTCTGGTCTTAGAGGAGCTGTAACTCAGAAATGAGGAGTGTGAAATTTCATTTTGTTTCATGAAATCGTTTCAAGAACTTGATGTTTTGGGTCCATAAAAACACAAAGCTTCAGAGATCTGGACTACGCTGGTCAGGATGTTTTATTAGTTTATGACTTTGTGGAAGATAAACTTGTCAACTTTTATAAGCTTTTATGTCAGTCTCCTCTGGGAAAGCTGTTTTTTGTTTCCTGAAGGATAAAGTGTTTAAAAAGCTAAATAATATTTTACTAACTCCCTGCTTGTTTGCAGTGTGTGCAGTCAGACTTTTTAAATAAGGAAGCAGACAGATGTTTGCATTTTGCTCCACTTTATCTCGGCTCTCTTTCAGGACTCAGACTTTGAAAGAGCTCAGATAACCGCTTTTCCTCACACACTAATGTGACAGAGAAAATATCTAAATATCTGCAACACGTTTGCTTTATTTTCCTGTTTACCATCAGAGAGCCGAACATGGAGTGGGAGCTGAAAAAGGACTGCTGATGTGTTTTTAATATGTGGTTTTTACGCAGGTGGATCTCCCCGCTGCTGAGGAAGGGCTTCACTAAGAAGTTGGAGCTGAGTGACGTGTACAAAGCTCCATCCTATGATCAGGCAGACACCCTCTCTGAGAGGCTTGAAAGGTTGAGTTATTCAGATCTTTTTCATCTTAAAGCACATACTTTTAATATATTCATTATGTTGTTCTAATAGAATAATTAGAAAAAAATCAAATAATTGAAAAGCTGTGTGAAATAAATGTAAAAATACATAAAATGAAAAAGAAAAAAATTGTTTCTCCTATTGTTGCAAACCTATACATAGAGGAAGTGGAAAAGAGAGCCTTGATGTCCTTTTCAGGGGTGCCACCGAGCCATTGGTTCAGATATGTTGACGACACCTGGGTTAAAATTAAAGCCCAGGAAGTCCAACATTTCACTGATCACATCAACTCTGTGGATGAATATATTAAGTTCACACGAGAGGATGTAAAAAATGGCATGTTGGCGTTCCTGGATTGCGATGTCTCGGTTTCGGATGGAGGACGGTTGGAAACTGGTGAGCCCACCAACCCTAACCGTAAGCCCACCCACACAGACCAATATTTGCGTTTTGACTCCCACCACCCACTGGAACACAAGTTAGGAGTGATCAGGACTCTGTACCACAGAGCAGACAGTGTCCCTACAAACCCAGGAGCCAGGCAGAAAGAGAAATCACACACACGACAGGCCCTGGAGCAGTGTGGTTATCCTGACTGGGCTTTCCTGAAAGCAGACAGGAAACACAGACAGGACTCCATGCAACCTTCAGGTGAAAATGAAGACCCCAAACCCAGACCCAAACCAGTGGTTATTCCGTATGTTGCGGGTGTTTCGGAGAAACTGAGACGTTTATTTTCTAAACATGATGTCCCAGTGGCTTTCAAACCCCAAAACACATTACGGCAAAGGCTGGTTCACCCCAAAGATCCGGTGCCCCGGCACAAACAGAGCAATATTGTATATGCTGTTAAGTGCCAGGAGGACTGCGACCAGTTATACATCGAGGAAACAAAGCAGCCACTGTTCAAAAGAATGTCCCAGCACAGGCAAGCTGATTCTAATGGCCAGAACTCTGCAGTTTTCACTCATTTACAGGCCAGCGGTCACTCTTTCAGAGATGAGGATGTTCTCATTCATGATAGGGAGGAACATTGGTTTGAGAGAGGAGTAAAAGAAGCCATTTTTGTAAAGAAAGACCGTCCATCATTAAACAGAAGTGGAGGCCTCCGTTTTCAGCTGTCCCCCTCCTACAGCACTGCTATAGCCAGTATCACTCCACCCCGTTAACAATAAGTGTTAATTAGGTGTCAACGATAGCCATGTGATGTGAGTATCAGTCACATGGAGGCAGGACTTAAAAGCCTGAATTTTGCCTGAAACTCTCAGACTGAAGAAGTCTCTTGGAGGAGAGACGAAACGTTTCATTAGAGAAGAACCCGTCCAGAAGACCTATACAATTTTTTTCTTTTTGATTTTTTACCTGGATTACTGAGATGCATCAGGACAAAACATAAAACGCTTTGATTTGCAGATTTATAAACCCTTATGTTATTCACAATGGAACATTTTAATGTTTGAACTAATAAATCGTCCCATGTTAGGAGAAAATAAGGCAACAACACTTCAGTTTGAACAGGAGCAACTAATGGAGGAAAATATCAGGGATGATGAAGAAACTGAACCCAGGAGTGCAGACTTGACTCAAGAGAGTTCCTGAATTTATTAAACAGAAAAAGAAGCAGCGAAAACCTGACAGTGTCTGAGGGAGAACACTGAGGAAACCATGAGGAACACCATGCTCAATGCTCCAACAATGAGGGAAGTGATGCAGAGATATTAATAAAAGGGGAACAGGTGAGAGTGGGCGCGGCAGGGCGAAGGGAAAACACAAGAATCGCAAAGCAGACGGATCAAAATCTGAACATCTTTTTCTTTTTTAAAATACGCCACGTCCTCTGTGCTAAAGAGAGAGGCCAACCAGCACACAGTTTAAAAGCCTGCCTCTCTGATGGTATAAGGGTGCATTATGGCATTGCTAGTCTATGCAGCTGCAAAGAGCTGCTGAAAAGTCTCCACAGCAGCATTATTAGATGTCATGAAAAGGGTTTGTTTGTTTCAGCAACACAATATTTGACTGCATCCATTACAACAACATGACTCAGTGGTAAAGTCCAGTTCTGAACTGGTCTCCCTGCAGTCCAGACCTACAACCTGCTGAAAACACTTGATACATCCTGAAACAACTACATCAGAAAAACATGGCCCTACTTTGTTCAGATATGACGCTGACATCAGATTTAATAGTTTTTGTAAACAACAACAACAACAACAACAATTATGAGTAAATGATGAATTTATGAGGTTTGAAAGTCTCTGCATTCTGTTTGTATTTACATTTAACTTAATTTTACTTTGTGCTTTTAGAAATAGTTGAATGCATTTTTATTCTAAGAAGAATTTAGTTTGAGTTGGAATTATAAAACTCTTTTGTCTTTCTTGTTCCTGTTTTAATTGGCTCACCTCTCTGTCTCTGTTTCATCTGTGAACAGTGAAACCTATTTACTTTCTCTGCACATCATTAGAATTTGAAATAATTCAGAACATTGTTGCATAAGAGACATGGTGTTCCATTATGATGACCCTGCCCCCACCCTCCCCATTTAAAACATGTATTATTTCATATATCTTAGACCTATACATTGGTTTCATATATGGCTCCTACAGGAATATATGGTGGGAGTGGGCACCCTCCACATTGTGACAGCTAAGGTACTGAAAGATGGAGAAGGGAGGGGCGGTGAGGGTTCTCAGTCTCTAACACAGTTTAGTTTAGTTTAGTTTAGTTTATTCATTCATTTCATTTAGGAAAACAAAGCAAATTCAGTGTACAAAAAATGCAAATTAAAAATAAAATGAAGGGCAGCAGAAGGAAGAAAATAATCTTATAATATCTGTGCCTTTTTACATCAAAAGAAATTCAAACAAGCGTAGGATTGCGCAATCCAAGGTGAGGCACTTCATGTGTATCCGGGACGTCTGTCTCATTCTTTTAACAGGAAATTAGAAAATCCAGCGATTCTGAATTTAAAAAGAACACAATGGACGTACCGGACACGGGGTACCTGTGGGACATGTCCCTCGCACTTCCCGTATCTGTGCCCTCTGTCCCCCGCACTTTTCTTCTTTGTTAACATGCAGTAACATGTTTTTCTGAGCCGCATTTAAACGCACCACGAGCGTGCTCACACTGTTTCCTGTGGATCAGTGATGGGAGACGAGCTCCCGAGCGGAGCTCCGCCTTGTGTTTCAGAAACCAGCCAGATCAAAAGGCAAAAAACGTTGCAGTTTTTTCCAAACGATGCAAGTTAAGGCATGCTGTTTAATACAGATGATGTTAGCTAAATGATGACTTAGGGGGGCAGAGCAGTTGTTCGCCCAGGGCACCAAACAAGCTAGGACCGCCCCTGACCAACGTTACATTTGGAGGAAAAAAGAGGGAAACTTTTGGGCAGCAAAAATCAGCAGAACAGTGACGTACGGAGGTGGCAGCGTCATGATGCGGGCTGTTTGACTGCAGGAGAGGCTGGCGACCTTTATGTAAATATTAGTGGGATAAATGTTAATTTCCTGAATACTGACCACTCAAACTTTAGAATCTGAATTTTATTTTGTGTGAAAAAAAAATAAGATAGAATATATTTTTATTTTGATGCTGTTTTTACACAATGTTGTCATCATTTTTCTCCCTCCTGCTGGTTGAGGTTGTGTCTTAGAAAAACAGTCCAGTTTAATAAAAAATTCAGTCAGAGAAACTGACGCCTCCACATCCACTCCCACCTGAAACAGTTTTATTTATTTATTTATTTATTTATTTATTTATTTATTTATTTATTTATTTATTTATTTATTTATTTATTTATTTATTTATTTATTTATTTATTTATTTATTATCTGTATAAAACAAGTTTACTGGATTAGATTTTTTATTTTAATTTGAAACAATAACTTCACAAAAACTCTTGTAATAGCAACGTTAAATGAGGGGAAAAAACTTTAAAACTATAAAACTAGAGAGGTCATACAGTAGAATCACCCCTCTGCTGTAAAGCAGCAACCATTTCCTTCAGAAGGCACAGAATTAGAATAATTACAGATGGACCGCAGACAGACACAGAAAATAGTTTCTAAGTTGGAGAAAAATACCTCCTCTCTTCAGTGTTGTTCTCGTCTATCTGCTCCAAACCACTGACTGATTATTTACCTTCTTAGTTTAGTCTCACCTTGTTGAACACAGCAGGTTTTACTAAAATCATTCCTGCATTAAATCAGAAAACGTGAGGTCTAGTGTTAGTAGCCAGCTGAATGTGTCCATGTTGCAGAATTAGTTCTGATCATTGTGGATATGAGGTTCAATCTACTGACAAACATCTCATTATTGCAAAAAGATAAAACCCTGAGAATCAGTCTCTTTCAATTCCATTTAAAATGGTCAAATAGTTGTAAAACAGAATAAAATTTACAGGGTTTAATAGGATGAGCTTCTGCAATGCTACTGCAGTCAATCGATAGTAAACAACAACACTAAATCTTCTCTGACTGATTCTCATTCTTCTTTTCTTTCAAACAACACCGCTTTCTCTGACCGGACACTTCAAATCATAAAGAGTTTGTTTGTGTTTTATAAGTTCCTGTCAAAATCTGACATGTCTGTCATCATGTTTTCTCACCTTGGCTGTTTTTCACTCTCATTATCTTTATAAATTTAAAAAGTGGTGAATATTTACATTGCTTTGCTTCTCTTTTTTAAAAAAAAATCTAGCACAACAACCCCATGTCGGCTCTGCCTTTTTGGTCTCCCAGGGAAGTTTTATCACAATGAGTTGTTCAAACAATCCAGTTAATGTATGTCGGTGTTAAAAAGTTGACCTTTACAACTGTCCCAGAGCCCACCGGGTGATAAATGAGACGGTGATTTTTACTCTCATTATTCCAATCGGCAAACAGTGAAGGCTTCTGGGAACGTGAACTTTACCTTCTTCCCCTAAAACTGTCAGCCTCAGTTCAAAGTCAGACAGCTGGGACTGATTAAAGAAAACAAAACTATTGTTGCATGTGTTACACATATAAATATATATACAGTATAAACATACAAAGTATTCATTTCCCGTGAACTTTTACAGTGTTACAAGCACAAACTTCAAAGTATTTTATGTGTCAGACCAACACGAAGCTACAAAACAGTGAAGTGGAAGTAAGGCAATAAAAGCTTTTCACTTTTTTTTCAAATAAATGGTTAACTCTTAATTTTATGGAGGATCTGAAAGAAGAAAGTCACAAGAAGTCCTGTTCGAAGTGTGACTCAAATGAAACTGCTCTGATCAGATCACAACTTAATCTGTAAAAATGTTGAGCCATAAATAATGTTTAAAGATGTGCTGCTTTGTGCTGCTGTCACAGAAAATCCCTGTAAATACCTTGAGGTTTGCTGTTGTAGCTATACATACATTTTAAAAGGCTTTGTGGATGTTTTTGTGTGGCTTTTTTTCTTCTTTCTCTGCAGTACGTCGGGGGAGTTTCTTGTCTGTGTGGGTGGAGTTTGGATTAAAGCCTAACCCTTTAAAAAATAGAAAATTCCCATTTTTAGAATTGACATGTGTTTTGGGCCTTTAAATAAAATCCCCACCCCCAAAAAAAATTTTTTTTTGCCACATCACTTTGTTTACGATATATATTTTTGTATCAAATCTGATACACTGGGCTGTTTTGTTAACATTTTGCTCACAACAAAGTTAAATTCAAAAACAACAGACAGTTTTGCCCATAACTTAACAAGTTTAGAACACTCTAGGAAGTTTACCTATTTTTTGTACTATGAACTTTTTACAGCCATTTATTTCAATTCGTGGTGGACAAAAAACAGTTTCTGTCCTTGTTCAGGCACAGATGTACCTAACACTTTAAAAATTGTCATCTATTATCATATTGATGACATTTTCTTACTTTCTTTTTTCTCTCTCTTCTTCCTCAGTTCTCTTTGACATCTAACATGTAAATAATTAGTCAGTACAGGGTAGAGATTATAATTTCAAAGGAACCACTTTGAAAATAGCCAAAATGTGTTTTCAAATGGCATTTCAGTAATTAATCAATCATCCAAAATAGTGTGTGTTGTATTGTGGCAAGAATACTGTTGATTAAATTACTAAAATTAATAAATGTCCTGATGCATCTCAGTAATCC